TATATATATATATATATATATATATATATATATATATATATATATATATATATATATATATATACAGCCATTTAGTATTGCAATACAGATCACGTCAAGAAGCGCCAACGGCGCCTGGGATGCCGATGTGAAATTTCAGTTATGGACAGCATACAAGAATATCTTGCATGCGGTTCCGCTCTTTTGGTTATCCCTCATGTTGTTTAGCCTCCGGCGTGCTCCAGTTATTAACTGTCTTCAGATATTTCTCTGAATTGTTCGTGTGTATGTCCAGCATAACTCCCTGCTAGGCGATGCGTGAGAGGCCAACTGCATGCAAACAGCTCACCTGACTAGAGGTTTGGTGTGCTTCGGAATATAATCAGTGTTCACGGCGAAATGAAATGCTGACATAAGCACTGCAAGTTGAAAAAAACACTGCGGCCACCCGATGGAGAGGAGCAAACGCAGGGTATAAAGTGTAAACTCTGACGTCCCCGCATATCTTTGCTGCTTTTTGCCCCTGTGGTGCTTCGGGTCTGTTGTTTGAAGCAGCAGTTAAATTTTGGCTGTTCATGCAGAAGGGAACGCTTCACAGCCAGAAGCCAATAACGGCGGCTTGATTTGCAACGTGCTGTGTACAATAGCTGAAGAGGAAACGGGGCAACGCGCTGAGAATCTCAGGGCAAGTTGGGCCCTAGGCAGAGACGGCTGTCAGGATAGCAACCAAGCCGGCAATTATAATGGTAGAGGCCGTTGCTGCAGGGCCATTTCCAACCGAATTCTTCAGGTCGTCTTCTGTCATATCTTTTAATTCAGTGGTTCGTTCTATAAGTCCGTTGAAATACTCCTCACTGAAAAAAAGGAAACAGACAGGAACGCGTAATCAGGGAGGCCATCCCCAGCCTCGCCATCTATTACCTGTAAATCCCTCCTTAAGTCCCCTAACTGCAGGCATCTTCCGGAACCCAGAACTTACTCAAAGGGGGCTGAGTTCTTCACCGCTGCAGGTTTGAGTTGGCAGAAAAGTACGGCATCTTTTGTTGAAGTTCCTTCCGGTGTTTCTGAAGCTCCGGTTCCATCTTGAAGCGATACCGGAACTTCTGGCTCCTCTGGAGTTACTACTTCGGTACACCTTCCAATGACGCACCCGATTGTAGTGCTGTTAGACCCGAGGAGATATGCCAGGCTGGCTGCTGCATCTTTCTCCCAGATCTTTGTCCACTCTTCTTTGGTCTTGGGGTATGTTTTGCTTTTGAAAGAATGTCAGCAAAGCACAGCACAAGTACATAGTGAGAAATGGGCTGCAGAAAAGGCGACGCAGTTGCTTATCTATACGTTCGGCACCACAGGTGATGCGTTTTGCTATACAAGGAATAGGTATGAGACTTGTTTATAGTGATGGTGAATATGGCATTTACTTACTTGAATTCCTTCAATCCCACGTCAAGGGCGTCCTGCAGTATCTGACGGTAGTCTGGGCTGGCCTTGGACGCGGGTTCGTACTCGAAAGAGTGATGGAAGTTATTCTTCTATACGCCAAAACGGTACGGAAAAAGACAAAACAACTTGCTTAGACACCTGTTTCAGCCAGCTGCAGGGCTGCTGTCTCCGGCGCTACAGTGGGGTTTAGAGCTGCTGTTGTCACGGCACGAGTCGCCTGTAGCAACAGCTCAAATTCACTCTTCAGCTAGTTGTGGTCACGTAATTGCTTTGCTTACCAGTTCGGTGGTTATCAATGCAGCGCAGTTCTCCGCAGCTTGCTGTGCTTCGGGTGCTACTTTTGCCGTCAGGTCAGTGACTAGGCTTTCGTCCTTTGTGACCTCACTGATGTGAACTGGGAGCTTTCCATTACGGGCCAAGTTGGTGGACAAGTAGGCGTCTGCGGCGGAGAAACAGGAACAAAGAAACAAGGCAATGAAGCGACTACGGGTCCGCCGCAGCTGAGTTGTTGATAGCTTGGCATAAGACACGAAGGAAGAAAACATGACGGGTTAAATGAAGGGGAGAATATGCCCACCTTCATCTACATCCACTACTGTAAATTTATATTTAGTGCTCTGCTGCGCCTCTGACTCGAGCGCACTGAGTGCGACGAGGCACACTGTTGCTGCCGTCTTGTAGAAAGAAGCCATGGCGGTAAAAGAGGAGAAAGGGTTTCAAAATATTTTTTCTTTCGAAAAGGAAGAGAAAGAAATATGCACAAATTAAGTTCAGGAGATAAGGCGAAGAAGTCTGAGTTCCTCAGTTGGTCCGGTCCTCAAGTCTAGTGCACCGCTGATGGACCAGTACGGAACAATAGTGCCGAAAATGCGAGCAACGCTCGAAGCTAAATATAATTAATATTAAAAGAAGGTAATACGAGAAATATTTCTATGTAGAAGGGTTGTGTGCCTCTTTTTTATCGCTGTTTATGTGCGCTCGTGCCGTCCCCGTCGGAAACCGCTTGTAGTGCACACGCGCTGCAATGGAGCTGGACTGGAAACTGCAGAGACCTTGTTGGATGAAAGAGAACAAATACAATACTAACCGAGATAAATGGAAATACAGTAGGTAAGATGACCAAGTCAAGAATGCTGGGCGGTCCACCAGCCAGGTTAGGGCTGGCTCTGAGACTGATGCAGCGGTTGAGACTTTGGCTGACTGCAGGACTTGTTATTCCTGCATTTCCTCTTTAATATTACTCGACTGGAATATGTTTTAAAGGCAATTATTTGAGCATTTGAGCCCGTATAGTATAGATAGACTGTCTTTAGAACATAGAGTTTGAACCAAGCAGGGTTGCCATACGGTACGGTACATGCTTAGTAACCGCCCGCTGCTCACTACATTTGGGGGCTGTTCCGGGAATTGTATAGCCATACATCTCTTGAATTTGATGTTGGATTCGCGTTTACAGTCATTATTGAGCACATTTGCCCTAATAGCTGCACGGTCAGAGATGCGTACACCCGTGTATCTACGAAACGGATAGCTCATAGGCGCGAAACTATGACAGGACATCGACGAGAAGAGAACCGCAGGACACGAGTCGGATAGTGACACCGGTCCAGACGACAAGGGAACAATTAGCCTACCCACTGATGGAAGTCCTCCACAGAAAACAGGAAGATATTGCCCGGTCAAGACGGTGAGATATTCTGCCCAATCTACAACCTCTGATAACTGCACCGGATCTAATGCAGGGATTTATGATTCACAGGCTGACAGTAATCCACGTAAACACTGGTTCCCGAAAATGGGGACACTATGAGAGCATTATTGCAATCAGTGGAATTAGAACACGAGGAAGCAGATATAGCTCGTAAAGAATGGGCGCATGAAGTACGCAGATACGTGGTAGGGGAGGCAATATATTATTGATACCATTTAAGGGCCTCTGGAGTAGATTTAGGTAAGTGGGAGGAGGTTAGACAAGAAATGCTCACAAGATTATGTGGGATAATGAAAGAGTTGAGGATCCGACTAGCAAGCATATGGTGGAAGGGTAATCCGGTACAGTATGCTGCCGCCTTTCCGATGGAATTGAGTCAGGGTGAACCCCTAACACCGAGAGACTCGTTAAGAGTATTTTACCGTTGTATGTTAGAGCTAATCGAGCTTCATCAGGTAAACTGCCTTTAACTACAGACAACGGTAAAAGAATCTCTGAATCCTGGAAAAAGGCAGCTCATGAGTTGAAGAAAGTTGTAGGAACTAGAGAGGGAACACTAGAGGCGGCGAAGCAATGCAGGGAAATGATACAACATATGCGGCAGCGAAGGGGAACACTCCGCGATGAGAACAAAGAAGACCGGAAAAGGGCAACTGCACGACGTGACCCTCGAGGTAGCACTCGCTTCCAATGCATGCAGTGGTGTCAGAAGAGGGCTATGGACAAGAAGTGCACTAGAGGAAACTACCAAAGGGGGCTTCCTGTGTAGCGTGGGGTATAGAGCAGTCCTGGAAGTAGACGTAGCAAGGCGTCAATGTGAAGCGCTCCTAGATACAGGAGCCATGAACTGTTTTATTGGTCCTCAGACAGTAGATCGTTTAGAGCTCAAGGTGCAGAGATTGGCAGAGGCGTGTACGTTCATGATAGCCAACGGAGAACACCTGCTCTTCGATCGTGCCGTAAAGCGGTCAACGATGTGGTGCGCCACTGGAGATACTAGAAGTGCTGCGTACCTATACGGAGGCTTTCCCTGACACCCGGCCATCTGGCCTGCCACCGTAGCGGCCTCACGACCATCATATGCTAGTGGTTCCGGCGAAACTGCCTACAAAATCTGCCATATACCACAAGCCACCAGGTCAGCTTAAATACCACAAACAGGATATTGCTAACCTGTCGGCTCATGGATGGATAAGGCCTACGTATCCAGCTATGCTAAAATACTGACTACATGGCTAGGGCATACAGAAGGTTACCTGAGAACTGTTCGTTCAAGTATTTTTGCGGAGCGCCGAAGACGCTTGGGCAAGTGTAAGCAACGAACACCACGAACCACAGCAAGGCGCCACGCCATGCGCCAGGCCACCTTGCTGTCGGGGGTGGGGTTCGCTTCTTGCAGGTGCATCGGGGACCCACGCAGCGCTACCAAGTGACTCAATCATTCCCCATCTTATTCGAGGAGAGTGGCGAGGCGCAATAAAGCGAAAATACTCAAGATAAGACCTCCCCAAAAGGCGGTGACGTTCCCTTTAAGCCCCCACGAATCCTAGATACAGCGCTGCAAAGTGGGATCAGGCAGCATGACATGAGTTGCAACTCACCTTACTGCAGCCAGTGCTGAAATTTACGTCAACGTGCGACGGCACCCAAGCTTCCGTTCGAGTTCGTAGCAACACTGTACACAGTCGATGAACACACAGGCGGCCGTAAATATGTAGCGTGCACGCAAGTAGAGGTACATGTACAAGTACCAGCATCGACCCGGCCATGTAGACACGTTATCATTTTTCTCTGGAAGCGTTTGTCTTCATCTGTGTGGAGAAATATGGGCATATATATATATATATATATATATATATAACCATTTAGATTTGCAAGAGGGAGAAAGGAAGCAACAAATGCAACCTTTTGTGAGAAGGGGAGCCCGCATTCAGTTCGTGTAAAGAATTGCAAACGACGCGCGGGCTTCCGAGGTGAAATTTAAGTTTTTCACTGCATAAGAGAATATGTTGCATGCGGTCCCGCCATATTGTTTTCTCCGTATGGCGCATAGCCTCTGATTTGCTCCACTTACTAACTATCTTCAGATATTTATTTGAACTGTTCATTTGAATCACGAGCATAACGCGCTGCTACGCGATGCGAGAGAGGCGAAATACCTGCAAAAAGTTCGCCTGCCTAAATGAGAGCTATGTTTGGGAATATATTTAGCGTTCACGGCAAAACGAAAGGCTGGCATAAGCGCTGCAAGTTGAAGAAAACACAACGACCACTGTGTGAGGTGAATTAGACGCAGGGTGTACAGTGCAAACCCTGACGTTCCCCTATATCTTTGCTGCTTTTTGCCTCTATGTTGCTTCAGGTCTGTTGTCTGAGGCAGCAGCTAAAGTTCGGCTATTCATGCAGCAAGGGGAGCTTTACTGCCAGAGGCCAATAACGGCGGTTTGGTTGGCAAAGTGCTGTGTACAGTAGCTGAAGAGGAAACGGGGTAGCCTCCTGAGCAGCTAAGGGCAAGTTGAACTCTAGACAGAGACGGCTGTCAGCATAGCAACCAAACCGGCAATTACAATCGTAGAGGCCGTTGCTAGAGAACCATTTCCAACCGAATTCTTCAGGTCGTCTTCTGTCATATCTTTTAATTCAGTGGTTCGTTCTATAAGTCCGTTGAAATACTCCTCACTGAAGAAAAACGCAAACGAAGAGCAACGCAATATCAGGGAGAGCATCCCCAGCCTTGCCATCTATTATCTGTAAATCTCTCTTAAAATCTCCTCACTGAAGGCCTCTGCCGACGCCCAAAACTTACTCAAATGGGGCCGAGTCCTTCACCGCTGCAGGTGTGAGTTGGCAGAAAAGTACAGCATCATTTTGTAAAGTTTCTTGAGCGTTTTCTGAAGTTTCACTTCTCGCTTGAAGTGACCTCCCTCCGTCTGAAGTTACTACTTGGGTGCACCTTCCAATGACGCACCCGATTGTAGTGCTGTTAGACCCGAGAAGATATGCCAGATTGGCTCCCTCATCTTTCTCCCAGATCTTTGTCCACTCTTCTTTGGTCTTGGGGTATGTTTTGCTTTTGAAAAAGGGTCAGCAAAAAACACAGCACACGTGCATAGTAAGAAATTGGTTGCAGAGAAGGCGACGCAGTTGCTTACCCGTGCTTTTGACATCAACGGCGCCCCATTTTGCTATACAAGGAATAGATATGAGATTTGTCTGTAGTGATGGTGAGTATGGCATTTACTCACTTGAAGACTTTCAATCCCGCTTCAAGAGCTTTCTGCAGTAATTGGCGGTAGTCTGGACTGGCCTCGGACGCGGCATCGTAGTCGAAAGAGTAATGGAAGTGCTCCTTCTATATTGCCAAATGATGCAGCAAAAGACAAGACAGCTTGATTACCTTCGTTCTGCCTCAGTTGAATTGCTGCCCAGTTTGTTTCCGGATATACAATGGGTTTAGAGCTGCTGTTTCCATAGCACGAGTACCGGTAGCAACAGCTCAAATTCTCTTGCTGTGGCGCCACTCTGCTCACCAATTTGGCAGTTATCAATGAGGTGCAATTATCCACAGTGGTCGCTCCTTCGCCGGCTACTTCTTCCTTCAAGGTAGTGATAAGGGTGTCTTCCTTTGTAACTTCACTGATGTGAACTGGGAGCTTTCCATTGCGGGCCAAGTTGGCAGACAAGTAGGCATCTGTAACACAGAGATTTAAACAAATGCAGAGGGCGGCGAAAAGATAACCAATATGTAATCAATGAGCCTGCAGCCGCTAGATGTCTGCCGCAACTGTGTAGTTGCCGGCGGGCCAGTAAGCAATATGGGCAGAAGCGCAAGACAAATGAGAATGAAGATGCGAAGTACGTTTACCTTCGTCTACATCCACAACTTTAAATTTGTATTTTGTAGTTGTGCTCGCCTCGGCTTGGAGCCCACACAGTGCAAGGCAAACTGCTGCTGCCGTCTTGTAAATGGAAGACATTGCTACAGATGGCGAGATAGAAGTATACAGAAAGTGGGTTCTGGTTTTAAAATGAAATATACAAAAAATATCCAGATGAAATTGTCATGACAGGCAAAGAAGTGGATGCTTTCGTCGACTGGTTCCTGAGTCTCAGGAACTCAGGAACGGCGGCTCTGCCGGTCACCGGTCACTCAGCAGGCGCCGGTAGCATGGCTACTTGTCCCCATCAACTACAAGTTGCTCAAACACGACCAAAAGAGCAACCACGGTTGAAATTAAAGATAAAAATGTAAAACTAAGGTTGGGAAAGAAATAAATATGCACGAATTAAGGCATCCAGAAAGGGTAAAGAAATCGGAGTTCCACGGCTGGTCCTCGAGCCCCGTGCAGTGCGGATGGAGCAGTACGGAACAATAGTGCCGCAAATGCGAGCAAACCTTGAAACTTAATATAATTAATCTTAAACGAAGGTGATATAAGATATGTTTTCATGTAGAAGGGTTGTGTGCCTTGTTTTTCTCGCTGTTAATGAAGGGCCGTGTCGTCCCCGTCGGAGACCGCTTTGTAGTGCACAGGCACTACACTACAATGATGCTCCTGTGGAAACTGCAGAGACCTTGTTTGATGGAAGAGAACAAATACAATGCTAATCGAGATAAATGCTAATACTATATATTGAAATATAGGATAACGAAGCCAGGAATGCTTGGCGGCCACAACAGGTTAGGGATATGTGTGAGAGTCGCGCTGCGGTTGTGACACTGACGGACTGTAGAGTCACGAGGGAGAATTGTTCTTCCTGGAATTCCCTTTTAAGATTGCGTAACATCGAGTTGAGCCTCCTTTTGTTCGCAGATTTTTCACAAGGCGTAACAACAAGCCACCAACTCTCCTTCAGCATCTTGGGCGTCATAGGAGGTATCTCCTGGGACGTGTTGATGCCCTTCCGTATTCTCCCGTGTCTGTCCGTTGTGTTTTTCCATATTGTAGAGTTGTTTATGCATGTACTAGGCAAGCAGAGAAACACAGTCGGCCGGGACGGACGGAGCAATGCTAAAATCCCGCCTACATGGATACGGAAAACATAAGGTTGCCTCAATCCTTTCAGTTCAAGCATTTTTGCGGAGCGCCGAGGACGCTTGGGCAAGCGCGAGTAATGAATACCATGCACCAGAGCAAGGCACCACGCCATGCACCAGGTCAACGTGCTGTCGGGGGTGGGGGTTATTGCTTGCAGCTCCACCGGGGAATCATGCAACGCTACCCAGTGACGCGCTAATTCCCCACCTTATTCGAGGAGAGTTGCGAGCCGCGATATAGCAAAAATACTCAAGATAAGACCTCCACAAAAGCTGCAGACATTTCTTTTAGCCCCCATGAGTCCAATACACAGCGCTGGAAAGTGAGATCAGGCAGCGTGAGATGAGTTGCGACGCACCCTTCTGCAGCAAGTGCTGCAATGCAGCTCCACGTGCAAAGACATCCCAGCTCCCTTTCCAGCATGCAGCAACAATGTACACAGTTGTTGAACACACACGCGGCCCTAAGTATGCAGAGTGAACGCAAGTAGAGGTACATGCACCAGTATTAGTATCGGCGAGACCTTGTGACACTTTATCTTCTTTCTCTTCAAACGTTTGTCTTCATCTGTGTGGACAAATGTGGGTGTGCGTTTGGTGCTGCTGACGCTTCTCCATATATATATGTATATATATATATATATATATATATATATATATATATATATATATATATATATATATA